GTCGATGGTGACGGTGACGGCGATGATGATGCCAATACAACAGCGCAGTCTCAATCCCTAATATCACCGCTAGCAGCAGATTCATTAACCAATACTTCCATCGACGAGCACGAGGTTACCCCCGCTAGTTCCAACGGATCAATTTCGAACGTACGCCACCCGCATCGCAAGCGAGCGCGAAAGACAATACACGTAGGACCTCTTCGTCGCTCTTCGCGTCTCATGAAGCCGCTTACGGAGTTCCACAAGTATGCCGAACTGCCGCCGGAGCTAAAGCTGATTATATGGGAAGAGGCCATTGAACCACGTCTCGTATACATCAACAATCGATCTTCAACGGTGCATCAGGGACCGTTCGAGGTGCAGAATCGCTTACCATCCTGGTTCTTAGGTGATGGCAAATCCGTAAATATTGCTAAGAAGAACTATGAGAAGCGATTTGCTCTTATCACAGCTACCGGTGCCGTCAATGACAATACACGTCAAGATTTCAACGATCGCGATATCGTAATCTTCGAGCCTTGCCACAACGGATGTCGCGCGTGCCATTGTGCCCGAAACCAGTACAGCGATGATGATCGTTTTGCGGTACGTTTCCTGGCCGTACAGACCGATTCGCCCTTTCTGCCCCACATGTCCGAGCCGGCCTGGCAAAGCGTGTCGCGATCATGGCCCAATGTCGAGACGCTGTATCTGATGCGAGTTGCTGTCAAGGGCGTCAACAAGCGCGAGAAGGCTATGCTTCGTGTCAGTCCCAATGCCCAGGAGGTCGCCTTCATGGCACGATTTCAGGAGTGGAAGAAGGGACCAGGCGCCAACTTGAAGATGACGCAGATAGAGTTCGTCGTGGTAGTGGATAAAGACGACTCAACTAAGGATCCGAACAATCGATACCAGACAATCCAAGACCGACTGACTGGACTTCCGGAGGATGTAATCCTCGGTTGAATCTCTTACAACTTTACCAATATCACAGGCGAAGGGCCGTAATTACTAGTACGGCAAAGTAAGGCCTGAAACCCAGAAGCTAAATTGCACCCATAACGTTTGCTCAGACAACACGATACTTTTGCTTGCAGTCAATAGTGTGCTAGCACTGATCTGCGATTTATTTCCTATTCTACTGCCGTCGGACACGTTACATCTGCGTTGAGGCTCAGATCGAGTTCTAGAGACGAAGTACTTTTCTTCGACTCGAGATTCGCAAACATGCCTCAACTATATTTTGGTACGAGAAGACTGCCCCTTGCCGCGTCAATCGGATCGCGAAACATGCCTCTCATATGCCTTAACACCCAACGGAGACATCTCCAGCCAAGGCTAAACAGCCCTGATTGGTTCTAGGTAACCTCGGGTTTCCTTCCCATCATGCACTTGACTCATATCTACAACTAGCTGGAGATAGTTGTCGCAGCATAGTTCACGATAGTATACAAGTGAGCCACCTACCGGGATCGATCAATGGGGATTTGAGGCTTATTACCCCTATTTTATTTGGGACGGCGATTTAGTTCCACTACGTCCACTTCGATACATTCTTGATGTACTCTCATACCCGGACATTATTCTTCTACCAACACCATTTTCTCATACCATATGAGCAAATTCGCCATTTCTCAACGCAAAATAAGTTCCATATAAACACCAAGATACGAAAGATCCCTTTACCGTTATCGCTCTGCAGTTGTTCCTGATACGAAGAAAGCTTGATCACACCTAGTTATCTAGAAAGTTTTCTAAATGACAACTTACTATCAAGATCATCGTTCATCATTACAATTCGCAACCTCGCAATGGGTTTATGGCGGGAGACCTAGCCTGCAGCTTTTCCATTAGTAGCCAACTTACTCAAGCTTCTTTGATTTAAATCACCTTAGAGGAACCTTCAAAGCTGATTCTTGAGGCAAGTTGCGATACTCATCAACTTCGAAGTCGGTGATGGTAGCCAGGGCCTCTTTCCAAGCCGCAAGTCGATGGAGATCTCTTACTTCGACCTCTTGCGCCCAGTTACACCCACAATAGATCACGAACTTCCCCTTTTAAAGATCTGAAGTGACGGCTACGATAGTTCTGTCTAATGCGATAGGGACACATGCACGCCTACGAACAAAAAGCACGGGCAAATAACTTCGTGTGCTTTGTTCTTAATCTTAGGACATTGCCGCCCATCGCCGCTAGGGGTCTTATTCATGGGGTGTACTCCTCTCGGGGCGGTATCGACCACGTCCTAGATGCAAAGAAACTCCAGTTCCCATTGCTTCTCATCCTGGGCCAATATTCGCCATCCACCATCCACAACAGCTAGCCCCATTGCTACGGTCGGGCGGTATGAGGGATCCAAAAGTCTCAAGGCTCCGCTAGTAGTCTCAGAGAGCCTTCTTTATCAAAGGTGAGGCGCCAATTTCTCTACTTACTCGTTCAGCCTTTTTAGAAGCTTATTTCAACTAACAAAGACTAGATTCTCGATTTACAGTCGAAGGGCACCAAGCAGTGGTTAAGAGCACAAAGCCGAATGGTGGATGGGCGCAGGACAAAATGGAATAATGCATAGGTACATACCATACATGCGAACTCGTTATTTGCTACTTTAGTAATGATACCTGACTTTCCCAACACACAGAGTTTAAGTATCTCGTAATGGTTCATACATCTCTCGTCCGCATATATTATCACATCCTGGTTGCAGTTCATGGCTAACCGTGCACAAAATTCTCTGTGACAGAACATTCCAAAGATTTATCGTTAAAACATCCATCGTATCCATTAAATTAATATGTTATGTCGGCACAGCTCTGGTCGTTTACCAAGACAGGTAAATGAGTGTCTAGTTTCCATCCATGGGACCAGCACGGCTGAGTAAGTCAAGATTGCCGACGCCACTAGATAAACCTTTATAGATTCCGAGACGGGAGTGAGGGTGGCGCGAGTTTATTTGCACGGCAAGTCTGCCTTATCCCTACGAACGAAGATGTTTGCGGTCATGGCCATCATCGCAACAGCACTACAGCTGCAGCCCAGTAGTAGCCGCTTTGAAGACTAAGTATATTCGTTCCTAAGACTAATGAATGAATAGGCTATGACTGTGCTATTACCGGTCTCGAAAGAACAGTACTTAGTTTAAAGAATTGTATTATTCCTTGCATATGTACTTGTGAGGGTCTAGACTTGGCCCCGTCCGGGATGATTCCTTGTAGTAGATCAAATCAGTTAACGGACTTATTATATACACTGACGACTGGCCGATGAGCTTACCGTTTCCATTTTACTACTACTGGTCTCGCTATCGAGCTCTGCTGTAGAATATGCCGGAGCAGGAACACCGACGATAGAATCCCGAAGTGGTTCCGAGCTTGGGTCTGTCGAGTCCATCTGTTCCTGGAACTTCTTGATAGCCTTGCGCTGCCGCATAACTTCAACGCAGTCGCGGACGAATAGGACGAAGTGAATGCATCTTGGGTGTATTAGCCAACCTTATATTATGACTAAGGGACCATATGGAAAGACTCACGATACGAAGAAGGCGAACACAGTAGCAGCGATAGACATGGCCAACCAGAACTGCCCATTGGCGACATAGTTGGGGAATGGTGTATGCAGCCTCCCACTCGCATCGGTCCCGTCACCGTCGAACCATTGCTTCCAACGCCCAGAGTCGGCCGTGAAGAGTATGAGAAGCGCGGATAGTGCCAAGCCCCCGACGGAGAGGACCAGCTCGAACCCGAGGGAAACGGCCGGACGGATGCCTGGCTTTCGCTTCCGTACACACATCACGACGAACTCGGTGATGTCAAAGCCAATCGCTGCCAAGGCCTAAAGGAAACACAGTTTTAGTATTCGGCGCACATACGAGACGGTTCTCAGACTCGAGCCTACCAGCGGCGTGCCCATGATCGGGTACGAACTGAATCCCAGGGGCGCCGCGAAACCAGCAACGGATATGGCGAGGAGAGGGATGCTGAGTACGATCGATGCGATGCGCAGCCAGACCCTCGCGGTGTTCCACGACTCCTGGTTTGGCGGCTGCTGCGACTCCTGCCATTCTCTCAACGCCTGGTGGGTATCGATGGCTTTGAAACTGTAGTCCGCAGACCCTTGGTTGCTTCGAGTAGCGACAGACATGGTAGGAAGTTAGTCGTTAGACATTAACTCAAATTGCCAAGTTGGAATATGATGCCTTCACGAAATTCTTGAGGCTCTGGATATATAATATTCTACATTCCGCCCCGCAGTAGCCAGTATCGAACGATATACATAGCAGGCACTTATAAATAGGCGGTTTGTTTCTCAATACGAGTTCCTAAGCGTCGTGATCTGCGACTTGGGACCTGGGAGGACCTTTTGCAATCCTTTGGGCTGCACCAAGTCCCCATTGCCAGTGTAGATCAATCTTTCCGATTGGCGACAACTCTATGCCCACTTATACCTACCTTATACTCTATGGATGCAGACATATACTGTCTTGACCAGGGTCATTCAATCCCGGGGTCTATACTCGGTGCCGTAGGCGATTTTCGCGATTCGACAAGAGCCCAGGTGAATTGATGTACATACAGACGTGAGCTAGGCAGTGCTGTCCGCTCCATCGCTACCTACCTAAACAGGCGCACAAGTAGAAGAGTGTGGAGTACCGGAATATTGCTACCGTTTGATTAATATAAAAAGCCAGGGGTATCTCGCGGAATAGTGTGTTGGCTGAAACGGTAAGTAAGGCCAGGAGTTTTATTCTGTTGCTTAATTCTTGGATTGTGCTGTTAATCTCGTGATCGTATGTACCTCTCTCCCCCTTCACAATGCGGGTCCGAATATATTGGAAATATATTTACGAGGCCATAATGATGAAAGCGGTGCATGGATGAATGGGAGTCCGTAATTGATCAATCATCTTTCAGCTGTGGTGGGTTAAATGATTGAAAATAAAAATTATAGGAAAGTAGAAAAATGATCATGTTTGAGCGAAGTGTTAAAAAAAGGCGAATGAATATGTCCCCTAAAAATCATAGTGCCCCCACACCGGATTGAACGATGGACCTCGACATAGACTTGCAGAATTACAAGTGTCGCGCTCTACCACTGAGCTATAAGGGCGCGTTTACATGGACATTGATCCGACACCCTCCGATGAAAACTGTTGCGCTAGGAGACAATATGTATGTACCGTGTTAGTCACTAGTCACAATTTCCGCTGCTTACTGGCTTATGTGCATAATACGTATTGTACATACTATGTGCCTGCATACATATTATCGATTGAGATTATTTAGGGATGAAAGAGAAGACAACATATCTTATGTAGCGCCAAGGAATGTTCCTCTTACATAGGTAGGTAGGTAGGTGATCTCTAAAACCAACTGGTTACTCACAACGTGGAAGGCAAAATAAATAAGAATCGATCGATAATTCACCGAAACACAATATTGCGTTGGGAAAGGGACTGATTCTCGTGATTGACTACCTATCTAGTCAAATACATCTAATGCACCTAGTAGACATAGACGTTGCTCGCAAGCAGTGCAGTAATAATGAGTCAATACCCCTAGGGATGCGTATTTCCGAAAGCACCTATTCCCTCCAGACTGAGCTTAGTAAGCCATATCATGGAGCCACTTCTGCAGTGGGATTTATTTCCATATCCATCCTGTTCATCTTATGTTGAGCGAATTCAGTGGCAGGCGATCGGCCTGGAGACCGGCTACCTCGGTTCCCACATTCCATCTTGGACCATAATCTCGGAAGAGCTTTCGAGATGCTATAGCAAATAACATTGTGCCAGCGAGAGTGTATCGCAGACACAGTTCCTACTTTCGTCGAACACAGTGAATGATTAAGGTGTTGTAATGGCAACCGCCGTATGCCGTAACCGTGTCGAGTAGATTCCGCAGCATTTCCCCAATCCCCCTAATCCACGAGTGCAGTACCGTGTGACACGCGATCGGAAAGGCGCCGTATTCACTTAAAAATGCGACGTCCCCCAGCTTTCGCGGCAAAGCGGCTGGACCCGTTCTGCGTCTGCTGGTTCCAAACCAACAAGCTTCCCATCGCGCCGCCGTTCTCGGGAGCAGCCTTATGCCGCCGGTAGGCTTCGCGTAGGTGTTCGGGCCGCAGAGGAGCGGTTCGGCGGTACTGCGACAGCTCGTTGGAAGGCTCGAGTTCGTCGCCGGGATAGTCGGTTTGGGTCTCTCCTGCACGAACCCACTCGTCCTGAACATCGCGCGCGGCTTCGACGATTTCTCCGAGGAACATCTTGCAGACCGTCTGCATCATCTGGTGTACACTAGACGGACAGGATTGCGACGTGACGCTATTGATGTGCTGTGTAAATATAGTGAGTCAGCTATGCCACAAGTTGAGGAACCAGTGACGTAGGATAGGGTGACTTACCCTCTTGACATCGGCGGGCCGAAGGGTGGCGCTGCGCCAAACCTCGTATCGGCGGAACTGATGTACGTCCATCTGCGACTTCAAGAGCGCCTTGAGTTCCTCCTCCTCGGCGAGTTGTTCCTTGGTGCGAGCAGCAGATGTGACAGTCATGCTCTCGGGCACCTCATCCTCTCCATCTTTCTCGGCATTGGCGTCGTCATCTTTCCGGTGTCTGCGGCCACCCGTAGTAGTGCTGACGACAGTTCCTGCACGGCCTCCTACAACGCTTGGTGATCCGTCTCGCATAGCCTCGGCCGCAGCCTCGCTTGCTCGCTCTGCTTTGGACTTCCTGCCTCGCTTCTTCCTGGCAGGTACGCCGCTGACCTGGCTGCCGTTGATGCTGATGTGGCTCATGGTATCGGCGCTCGGAGATCGATTGAAAGATGGAGAGAAGGCTTGAATGTGCGACTCGTCGGGTGGAAAAGATGTTTGTCGGAGGGGATGAGCTGAGCCTGCGGATGCGATAGACATAGTAGATGCCTTTCGTCGCTTGAGCGCGGGTGGTTGTACGGCAAGATCAGCAGTGATGGAGCCGCGCTTCTTGGATGATGGTAGCTGCATGCTGGAGGGATAAGGCGGAGAACCCGCAGGCGAGAAGGCTGGAGGCGACGCCATCTTGTTGGATCGGTTCTAGTTCCGTCAGGACTACTTGAAAGTTGACGGACGTCGCGATAGTCTCGGACTAACGAGTCAGTATCGCAGTCGGTTTTGATTGATCGGTGCGGAGAGCAGTACAGATTGAACCTGTATAATTTTATCGGATTTTGGTTATGAAGGAAGATTTTTTGGAAGAGGAGGAAGAATTCTGTATTTTAGAGTGATGAATGTTGAGTCTGAGGATGTAAGTGAGAGGAATTAATTGTATGTACCTAATAAGATAATAAGATGCGTAATTGCGACGAGCTTGGATTATTCTGCCGGATGAGCTGGGCCACATGAGGCTACACCGCCCGCATGTACTTATGTATCGAGCTAACTACGTCAGGTAAGGTACGGCTTACCTCATCTTTGATCATCTTTGATCTGACAAGACACAATTAACCCCGCGGACTTTCCAAAGATGCTATCAGCCCGATAACGGACAATTGAAGGGTAAAGTTTTTCGATACATGCATGCATCAAACTAGTGACTTAGTGACGCAGGTTCAAACATTTGGTATTACTCATGTTTGTTCTCATGTTTGTATTTTAAGACGTGACTACATAAAACATACCTACCTATAGTCCTACATAACCTGTTCTCTTGTTCTCTTGTTCTCTTGTTCTCCTGTTCTCCACGCATGTGCTTCAGCTGATCGAGCTGATTGGAATCCCAGTGTTGGACCCTTAATGAACCAAGCCCTGCCCGCCAATTCCGAAGCCAATGAACCACTCTCTACCAAGCCCTTGCGCCAACTAATATCCCAAACGACGGGATAGAAAAAGCAAAATGGTGCAATTTGACGATCCCAAACGTGGCGATTCCGAGTCGACTGCGCCAGATATCTCTGCCAGTTCCGTTACAGGTATCTCAGATATCGACGAGTCTATCGATGGCGGCAAGAAGCAGGTACATGGCGAAGGCCGGGACGACAAGAAGGCGAGCAAAAAGAAGAGGAGAAGAAGAACGAAGGATAACGGCATATCCGAGACCAACGGACACACAAGCTCGTCCAAGAGACGGAACAGCATAAGCAAGGCTGCAAGAGATCCTAGAGATGAGCCGCCCACGAAGACGAAGAAGAAGGCCAAGACTAAGCATGATGCTGAGGTCGAAGTCCCGGAGGTAGAAACCAGATCGCCCAGTCCTGTCATTGACTTTGATGGTTTGAGTCGACCTAGTAGGTGATCCGGTTCGCTCTAGTGAATGCTTCCACTTACACCATACAGGCCTGGGAACCCGAGAGAGACGAGGGGAGCAAGAGAACTCCGAGCAAGCAGCCCAAAGGCTCGAGAAGATGCAAGGAGCTGTTCGAACCCTCCTGGAATGTATCGGCGAAGACCCAGACAGAGAAGGCGTGCTGGATACACCCAAAAGATATGCGAAGGCCATGCTCTTCTTCACCAAGGGATATCAGGAGAATGTCAGAGACATTGTCAACAATGCCATCTTCCACGAGAACCACAACGAGATGGTTATCGTAAAAGACATCGAGATCTTCAGCCTTTGCGAACATCACTTGGTCCCCTTCTTTGGCAAGGTTAGTCCTCTCCATCCACAGCATTACACTCTGCTCTATCTAATCCTTCATCAGATGCACATCGGTTACATTCCTAAGAATAATGTCATCGGCATCTCCAAACTCCCGCGCATCGCCGAGTTATTCAGTCGTCGACTACAAGTTCAAGAGCGACTGACGAGAGAAGTCGCCAACGCTATCATGGAGGTCCTCAAGCCTCAGGGAGTGGCAGTCGTTATGGAGTCGAGCCATCTCTGCATGGTAATGAGAGGTGTCGAGAAGACGACGACCAGCACGATTACCAGCTGCGTACTGGGCTGCTTCGAGAAGAAGGAAAAGACCAGAAACGAGTTCCTAAGCTTAGTCGGGCTAAACAGAGGATACAGATAGATCTACACCAGACCGCATGGCAGCGCATTTGGGTGCATATTCGGCGTTTGGGGTTTAGAGAGTGGGATCTCAACATCAAGCTCATCACTGAGGACGAGGGGGCGAAGAGGCATTTTAACATTACGGGGCCGATGTAGGCTCAACGCCTCTTAAAGAGGCAATCTGGCGTTCAGGAGCAGAAAAATATTTCTTCAACACTTGCTCTATGTATTATCAACTATGTCATCTATGCATTCGCTACTGGGTTTTTAGGCACCGGCCGACATGTACCGATAGATTCGCTCATTATCAAGCATTACATGTGTGAGCTTGGTATCATGAAATCAGACGCATTACGAACACATACACAAAGATACATAAATGCTTTTCGATCTAAATAATCGGAAATCTACAAGTAGTATCTGAATAGTCCGGGTCCGAAGTTACGGGGTTTATTCGGCGGAGGGATGATTAATTTGTAAGCATCTATGTAAGGGGATACGGCCCTTCTCCCTTGCCCGGATGAGTCATTGGTTATAAGAGACCTCGATCATAAACCTTTATTGCTCCGTCTTGCATAACCTTACATAACGAATGACACCTAGAGAATCACAGGTGCCATTACCTATGTGTTTGGAATCATTTTATCACTATTAGGTAGCCCCTATCCGCCCTATCCAAGTCAAAAGCGGCTGTGATAATCCCTTGATGACAAATGAGCTTCGGCTTCGCGTTGAGTTATCACCGGTGTGCAATAACGCTGAAGCGACGCAACGAACATGGTATGAAGGCTGATCCAGAGTGTATTTAAAAGGATCATTAATTCATAACTTTTACCCTCTCATCCAACACTCTATCTAATCAATTACACACCTCAAACCAAGACCAAGTAGTTACAAAGCCATAAAGATCAACCACTATGAGCATCAGCAAAGTCGCAATCGCAGGAGTAAGAACACCGTATCGAAATCGAAGAAAATCGGCTAACAGTTCATCTTAGGCTACCGGCAACCTTGGTCCCGCCATCGTGAAGCAAGTACTTGAAGATGGCTTCAAAGTCACAGTACTCTCTCGCAAGGGATCCAGCACCAATTTCCCGCCCTCAGTTACAGTGAGCGAAATTGATTATGAGTCTCCCGA